GTAGCGGTAGGGAGTTGGGACCGTAGTCGGTGTTAGACCGAATTTCTTCGCGACGGTGCCTGAGTACTTTCCAGCGTGTAGGTAGAACGCCGTGTCGTCTTCGACGACATTCAGTCCTAGGTACTGGGTCACTTCGTCGGACACCGTGAGTGTTAAGTCTTCTTTCAGCTCCCCTTCGAACCAGGTAGCGATGTCGGTAGTGGAGCCGATGTAGAGCAGGTCGTCGACGTAGACGATGAGTAGGATATACTCTCTTCCCTTCTGCAGTCGGTACATCCCTTGGTCATGCGGCAGTTGTAGGAATCCGATTTTTGCGAGACGGCCATGGAGATGCTGCTGCCAGAGCCGCGGGGCTTGCTTGATCCCGTATAGGGATTTTGTCAGTCGGCATACTTTCGTAGGGTCGTCGATGAATCCGTGGGGTTGTTCGACGAAAATCTCAGCGTCCACAGGTGCGTATAGGAACGCATTGGCGACGTCGATTTGGCGTAGTGGTAGTGTCTTCGTGGCCGCGACGGCGAGTAGGATGCGTAATGAGGTGTGACGGGAGACTGGAGCGAAGGTTTCTGTGTAGTCAGTTCCGCATTGTGATCGAAGCCTCGTACGACCCATCGAGCTTTGAATCGTTCGATGGAGCCGTTTGAGTTGGTCTTGATGCGGTACACCCATTTCCCCGAGAGGACGTTCTTCCCGTTGATGCTTGTTGCAGGTACCAGTTTCCATGTTTCTCGGTCTTGCAGAGCCTTTAACTCCTTTTCCATCGCTTCTTTCCATTTTGCTTTATGTTCCCCCCCCAGAGCCTGCGACAAGGTCAAAGGCTCTCGCGGAGAAGGCGGCGGCGGATGCTGGACGGAGACCCAGAGGCCTAGAATCTGCAGTCCCGTGGGTGTGTGTCGAGGGGAATTTTCATTCCCGGAATAAGCTGCTTCGTCACCGTCTTCTTGGTCAGGTAAGAAGTTGGGACCGATGCGTTCTGAAACATTTGTGTCGACAGGGTGGGGTGTAATGTAACCTTGGTCAGCGAAGTGGTAAAAGGTGTCGAGGTTGTTGCTATCGAGAGGATTGTCTTCGTCGAGTGGAACAGGTACGGAACAGAAAGGGAGTGGTCCGGCAGCTTCCGAGGCTCCAGGTACGTCTACTTCTGCTGCGTCAGCTTCAGCAGCACGGTCGGCGAAGGAACGAAGTCCCGAGAAGCCGTCGGTGGGGTCTTGTGTGTTGGCAATGTTGTCCAGGTAATGCTGCAGCGTCAGTCGCTCGTAGAAAATAACATAACGTGATGCCACGATATTTTTGTCTTGTATGTCGAGAATTTTCCACGCGTGAAAATGTTTGGCGATGCCGAGGTGTAGTCCCCACCTAGCTCGTTGTGTGAAGCGTCCTGCTCGGGCTGTGTGGGGTCTGTACTGTACCATGCAGCCGAAAACTCGGAGTAATTTTGTGCTGCCCCTTTTTCTTGTCCACAACAGGTGCGGTGATGCGTTGTTGGGAAGTGATGACGAGGACAGCAGGTTGTGCAGGTGAACGGCATGTGTAATCGCGTCTGGCCACAGTGTGGTGGGCAGCCTCATCCCCAGAAGCAGCTTTCGCATCGTCGTCTGCAAGGTTCGGTTCATGCGTTCTGCTACCCCCTGCTGCTGGTGAGCATAGGGCAGAGACACCAGGCGTCGGATTCCTCTTTCCGCTAGATAGGTCCTGAAGCGTTGTGACTGGTATTCCAGTGCACCGTCTGACTGAAAGCTCTTGAGCTTGGTTCCTGATTCTCGTTCGGCGATGGGGAGCCATGTGGTGAAGGCCTCGAAGGCTTGATCGCGCGATTTGAGATTGAAGTGCCAAACGTATCTGGTTGCTGCGTCGATGAACGTGATGACGTAGTTGAAGTTGGCTTCGGTGTCTTCTCGAGGCATGTTTAAAATATCGCTGTAGACCTTTTCCATCGGAGCGTAAGTAGGTGCGCTTGGGTTGTGATGAGATGGGAAAGGTTGATGAGGAAGATCTGCTTCGGGGCACGTGAAGCACCGTGCTCGTGGTCGTCGAAGTTCTTGGCCGCTCGTCGTTAGAAGGGCGTTGCGTTCTAACACCTCTGCTTGGATTGTTTGTAGTATCGTGCTGTTTGCAGGATGTCCGAGACGTTGGTGCCAGATGTCGTCGGAAGCGCGATGACCGGGCGAGCGATGGTAGATGTCGGCGTTGGAGAAGAACGCGACGACTGAGGCGGGACTTCGACAAACTTCTCGTGTGATGGGCATAAGCTGGTCTGCTTCGGTTGGCGGTCCTCGGGTCGCTGGTGGTGGGACTCGGCTGGGTCCTGCTGCCGATACTGCAGGTGATGGTTTGGTTGGGATACTTGCGGGTACTTGTCTTTCTTGTCTGATAACTGCTAATGCTCGTGTTCTCTCTGCTGCAGGTATGGTGTTGGAGTGCCAGAAGCCGTCACTGTCGAAGTCGGGATCAAGATCCGGCGGGTGAGTCCAGGCGGCGAACGATACGATACCGTCGCTGTCGGCAGTGCCGCGGTCGGGGACGAAGTCCAACACGAAGACGCCGGACTTCAGGAGGGCCGAAACTCGTTGGAGTAGGAGTCGCACTCCAGGTGAATCCCCTTGGCCATTAGTTGGCTTACGCTTAGTAGGTTGTATCCCAGATTGTCGACAATGAGCACTTTGTTGAGCTGAAGTATGACGTTTGTCTCCATGGATTGTAACTGAACCACGCCTTGTCTGTTTGTCTTCAGGTTTTCGTTGTTGGCGACGGTGATGACGACGTCGCGGTTGAGGCGTTTATCCTGTTGCACGAAGCGTCCCGAGGAGCACATGTGTTGACCGCAGCAGCTGTCCAAGAACCAGGTGTTTCGCCCGGTGGGTTCGGCGTTGGCGACCGTAGCATATGTTGGATTGACTTGAAGGCCTTGTGAGCGCGGTGGCGGCAGTTCTTCTTCGTCTGGCGCGTAGGTGGGTGGTGATCCGGGTGCGCAGTTGTCGATGTGTACCATGCAATTGATAATGTTTGGTGTTTGTTGTGCAGATGTTGAAGGGCGCCTTGGGGGACTTGCTTGAGTGGAAGCGACTTGTGGGTCTGCTGGACGGTAAACGCGAGGGCGGTTGCAGTTGACCTTGGAGTGCCCGGAAGTCTGGCAGTTGTGGCAGAACGGCGGCACGAGGGTAAGTCCCCTGTTGTCGCGTTCTTGCTTGCCGCATCGATTGTAGGTGTTGTCGTTTCTTCGTTGAGTGTAGAAGACTAACTGCTGTTGCTTCCTTGGTTGTCTTTCTTCGAACAGGTCCATCTCCTGTTGTTCAGCGTGAAGCTCGGCGCAGAGGTGCATCTCCGAAATCCTTCCGTGGGCGCGAAGAAGCGATCGTGTGGTTCTCCATTCTGGCCCGAGCCCGGCGAGGACAAGTGTCACGAAGCTTTCTTCAGTGATTGTACCTCCGCACCGAAGCAGGCGGTCGCGGAGGGTCTGGCAGCGACTCATATACTGCATCGCCTTTTCCCCGGTCTTCATCTGAATTGTTGTCAGTTGTTGCATGAGTCTGCTTTGTGTCACGCTGTCGTTTGCTTGGTAAAGGCACTTGAGATGGTGCCATGCGAGCTCCGCGGAGTTTCCATAGCTCCTGTATGTTCTGATGCTCTGCTGTTCTTGTGGTGACAGGTTTCTCAGGAGAACCGTATACGCCAGCAGCGACTGATACGTGAAGATTTCTTGTTCCTTTCCAGTGCCGTTGCTTGGGAATGGCAGGGACCCGTTGAAGTATCCTAGAAGATGCGCGGCCTCCATCAGCAGCTCGAACTCGAAGCTCCAGGTAAAGAAGTCGTGTCCGTTGAACGGTGAGGATGTCTGCAGTTTTATCACGTGCGAGAACTGCGCCTGGAGACTTTAGATTTCGTTTGGTGTTTGTTGTGATGCAGCTGCTGTTGGTTGTGCACGGGGCGGCATAAACTCGAACGTCCCCGGTGAAGAGTGATAAGGCGCAAAGGTAGGCGCTTGATTGTGTCGCCCAAACGATGAGTTATCGAGGCTCATCGGCGCTATTCTCATGTTTCCTCCATTGCTTTGTGTTGAATGCGCAGGTGTCCTTGTCTGCTGCTGCTGGTCGAAGTGGGACATGAAGCTGAAGAACCTTTCCATAAGGTTGGGATCCACGCTTGAAGAGGGAGATGGAGTCACCATCTCTGGTACTCTTCCAGTTGTTTCTTGAGCAGTCCCGGTCTCTGTCTGCAGTCCTGAGGTGTGCAGACCAGAGTTGCCGTGTTGAGTTTCTTGGCCGCTGGGTGAGCCCGTAGAGACTTTCTTGCCCTTGCTGTCCATGTCTTGTAATCAATGAAGTCGTTGAATTGAGTTGAGTTACAGGTTGTTGATGGAGCGTAGTTGCTGGGAGTTTGGTCTCTGACCAGCTCTCATACCATATTGGGCTGAGAAAAGCCCTTAGGATCTTTCCAGAGCAGAGACTAAGTCCCAGTTGTAGAATGAGACTTGAGTAGTGCAGCGGAAGTTGAGGCAGTTGAACCCTTGTACTAGTATGTGAGAACAAGTGATTAATTAAAGAAACAAGCATACAGCAATATATAGAAGATAGGAAGGCAGTTGTAGAATACAGTTACAGGGACGGTTTATCGAGTCGCACAGCGACTCGATTGCCGCTTCGGTTACCATCCGTGATGCTGTAACGGTCAGTCGCAACCTCCAGTTGCGACCTTTCGAGTCTTTTCGCATTCTTTGTCCGCCCCCTCGTGTAACCTCCGTTGACTCGCGTGCTTCCCTGTAATCTTCCTCGAGTACAGTGTTACACTTCAGAAACGCTCAAGTCCTTTGAGATATTTCTAACAGCGCTGTACTAAACTGCACGTGCCATGTGCTGTAAGGGAGTCGGCAACAAAACATGCCCTTGTGCTGTAGACTGTTACCTCAGCCATGGGCAAGCAGCAGCCGAAGCAGCAGCAGCAGCGCAGATGCATGGATGCCGTAATGGATTACTCCCAGCGGAAACCTCTCACGTCTGTACAGTCCACCATGGCTTCATTCCCGTTCTCGAATTCACGCCGTATTGCCAAACGCCGAGCATCGTGCATTTTTCAGCTGAGCGAGGCTGACATCCAGTTGCTTTCCTTTCTGCTCCGTTCCGTCTTCAAGACGCCTCGCTCGTCCAGCGACGCTTGGGGGAAAAGAAGCGGCCACCGTGATGGCAGTCCGCCGGCGTCGCGCAGTCAATCCGCGACAAGAAGTGCAGCCCTGCTTTACAGCCGACCGTCACAGGAGAGGTTCCTTCCGTAACTGCTGCGATGCAACCCTACTCGTAGTCCTTGCCGTTGCAAGGAGGAGGCTCTTCCGCCTTGTCCCTGCGATGCCGCGTCACGGTTTTTTCGCGCCTGAGAGGCTGCAGGGAGAGCCTGATGAGGTGCATCGTATCGTTCTTTAGGTTGCGGTGCGGTGCGAGATGGCCATCACCGCTCGGATAGAGGCTCTGACCTGACCTGACCTGACCTGACCTGACCTGACCTGACCTGCCTCTCAAACATTCGAAGGGCCCGTACTATGTTTAAACATGTTTAGCGACGTTGTATTTGCAATGTTGCTAAACATGTTTGAACATAGTATACGGAACAAACACTTTTGGGATGTGACATTCGCTGATCTGCTTCGTAGGCAACCTTACTGTGCCGTTCTTTACGTTGCGGTGCGGGCCGAGATGACCATCGCGGCACGAATAAGAGATTCCCCTTTGTTGACAGCACGAGATCACAGCAGGAAGCGGCGCTCACCACCGTAGCACAGTAGCTAGCCTGAAGCTCAGGACGAGCCGGTGTTTGTACCCAGAGCGCCTCAAAAGAAGCGGCGCTCACCAGCGCAGTAGCAAGCCTCAGGCTCAGGACAGGCCGGTGGTGTACCCGGAGTTTCCGACTCGGAGTCCCGCGCTGCCGTTTCGCGTGGCCTTCTTCCCTGCCGACGTATTTAATCTCTGGAGCACCGCGTTCTCCTCCTGCGCTTCAACTACTGGCCATCGTCCAATCGAGCATGGCTCGATCGGTCGCCGTCCTCGTCCTAATCAGCAGCTTGCTCCTCCTCACACGTAAGCAGTCCGGCGCAATCAAAGTCACAATCGCTTTGCTTTCTTCCTTGTGCCCTCCCTCTTTCTGGTCCCTTTTTTCCTTCCACCGCTTCCCTCCCTTTTCTCCCTTCACACCCTTTCCGCCTTGTTGTATAAATTTGTCTCTCGCTACTGTCCCGTTCTTGCCCTCCCTTTCCGTCGCTCCATCCCTCCCCGTTTCCGTGATCCGCAGCCGGCTGGCTTCAGCAAGCCGAGGTGAGTCGGGAAATTCATTAGCGGTTTAACCGTTCATCTATCGCTGTTCGCGGAGGGTCTTTGATAATGAGCTGACCATTAGGGAAACATCCGGGGCTCGTTTCTGACTTGTGTCATAAAATTGACAGCTATGATTCTGCCACATCAGCCTTCTCCCTCATCGTGGCCGTGGAAGCTGTTGACACTAGTGTCAGACACGAGCCCCGGAATTTACCCTTGATTAAATAGCTATCTAGAGAGAACTTAATTTGCCGCTCTGGAGAACTTATTCTGTGTTTTTCCGGGCCGTGTTTCTACCACCAGGCCGCTACCTACACTGTCCCTTGGGATCTGATCAGGACGCGAGTGGTGCAGCCCCCCAATAAGATAACTAAAGGGGATAAACTGGGTATGTCGTCGTCCCTTTTTTTAATAAATGGGGTTCGAGAGCCCTGAAGCACGCATGCGAAATTATGTTCCTCAGCTTTACCTTGTATCTCAGCTCTACCTTGTATCTCAGCTTTACCTTGTATCTCAGCTTTACCTTGTATCTCAGCTCTACCTTGTATCTCATCACTCCATGTTGCTCTCCTTTTTTGGGGTCACACCACTCTATCTCACCGCGGTTCCATGTCGCTGACTCTGCAGTGTTCAAGTGGATAGTCTTGGGAGGATGTGATGTGACCCATGCACCGTAACCCATGTGCCATGACCTATGAATCAGGGCCCTATCCATGTATCATAATCCATGAGTCACCACCCAATGCCTTTCTCAAATTTGTCTACTTCCCGAATCCACTCAAATCTGTCTGTTTTTCGAATCTCATTTCAGTGTTCAAGTGGACGGACTTGGCATGGCATGATCTGTGGATGGTGGACGATGAGAAGGCGTTCAACGACTGCGACTTCCAGCGGGCAAAGCGTCTCCGAGATCTTGTTGTTGGCGGGCAGTACAAGTAAGTCCGGGCAGCAGCATGGGAAGGGTGGTATGAATAATATTTTGGACTCGAAGTAGGCATGCTCACTTTCAAGATGAGAGCATCAGCAAGAATTCTGCACTCCCTGTCTTTTGGTGTCTCGAATTTTCTGTCTTGGTGCAATGGAGTTCTTACAACCACAACATCCACCACCACCATTATCCACCGTCACTGCCATCAGCTTAGCACCAATTTCTATTTTCCCATGAACTTAGCAGCTATTGAACTTTCCGATGCCACCACGCTCTCTTGGCAGGTACAAGGTCACTGCCATTTGGGAGAACTTTCCGCTTTATTTCGCCTCTACTACAAAGTGAAGTTGGCAATCGTGGTTAAAAATCTTGGATGATCTTTGATTCATATGGCAGTAGTACTGTACCTCCATTGGTCCACAGTATCATGTAGATCATCTTCCAACTAGAAGCTGTAGGTACACCTTTCACCCTGTTCCAACCAGTCCTTCACTGTCTTGTCGAAAGACTGGATACTGAAGATTGTCAGGTAGTGTCAACTCCTACATATATTTGTGTGTAGAAGTTATAGGCTGGATATGTTTGTGTTCTTAGAGGGTACAATTCCAACCCTAGATCTCCCTTGTTCTCACTTGTTCCTAGTCATTCTGCTATTCGGACATGGTCCGCCCACCCGCTTCCGCCCCTCGCCCTAGCCTGCCGTCCCGTCATACCCTAGCCTTACTGCGCCCCACCAGCCCCTAACGCCCCCCCCCAGCCTCTCGCGCACCCCGCCGGCCCCTAACGTGCCCGCCGGCCCTTGGTGCCCCACCGGCCCTTAGCGTCGCGCCGGCCCCTCGCCCCCCACCCCGCCCTTCGCGCACCTTACCAGCCCTTAGCGCCCCGCCGGCCCCTCACGTGCCCGCCTGCCCCTCGCGTACCCCGCCTGTCCCTCGCGCACCCCGCCGGCCCCTAGCGTGCCCACCTGCCCCTCGCGTGCTCGCCGGCCCCTCGCGTACCCTGCTGGACCCTCACTCACCCGCCCAGTCCCTCGCGCGCCCCGCCAGCCCTTCGAGCTCGCCGGCCTCTCGCATGCTCGCCGGCCCCTCGCGTACCCCGCCGGCTCCTCGCGTACCTCGCCTGCCCCTCCTGTGCCCGCCGGCCCTTCGCGCCTCGCCGGCCCTTAGCGCCTAGCCGGCCCTTAGCGCCTCGCTGACCCTTCGCGCCCCGCCGGCCCTAGACGCCCCGCCAGCCCTTCGAGCGCCCACTGGCCCTAGCGCCCCACCTGGCCCCAGCCAAGACTAATTTTTCGTTTTTCAAGACCAAGCGGTCTCAGGATTCGCGTCACTAAATATCCTGAAAATTCAGCATTCCCTGGGAAATCTCTCTTTATTTCAGGATTACTTTGACCTTCAATCTGAAATTCTGAGGGTTTTTTGGGACTCCCTACATATCAGCGGAACCTGTGGGCACTTCGAGTACAAGCAGGAAGGACGTCGATGTAAGAAACGATAAAGTATACAGAACACGTGCTTGCTGCTGCTGCTGTCCCTCACCACCACACCAAGTTCGACTCTTTCCTTAATCGCGACAGAAATGCGTACAACTTAGAGGGATAGTGCGCAACCTGGCCAATGTGATACTAAGGGGTTGTGATAAGTCTGACAGCCCTGCACTTCTGTAGTTGTGAAAGTTCCACTAGTCGAACCTTCAGATTGCGTGGAAAATTGGTCAGGGTTGCAAAGGAATTCGGAGGGGGGGGGGGGGGTAGGGCTGCAATTCCAGCACGGGTAGTTTCCATGCCAGTCGGATGGCCAGGATAAATTTTCGCGCAATCTGGATTGCTCCGAGAGTTCCTTGGAAACACCCGGAATCAGTCAAGAGGTTTGTGATTCAGAAACCCTTAAAATCAGGATTTCAGCGGGAAAGACGCGGAATGTACATGACATTCCGGATGTTTACCCTTGAACCGAGAGCCCTGGCCCCAGCGCTCCGCCGGCCCTTTGCGTCCTACCAGCTCATCGCGCCTCGCCGACCTGCTGCGCGCCTCGGGCCCTGTGCGCCCTGCTCGGCCTTCCGCCTGGTCTTCCCGCAAGAGAGTCTTGCCTGTTAAATTATATATTGTGTTATATAATTGGTAGGCTTGGTAGGTTACCGAAATCTACTGTAGAGGGTACAACTCCCTCCTTGTATGCCTCTCTCTTCCTAGTCTCCACCTCTTTTCTCTCCTCAACTTTCTACTAGCTAAACCTCACGCCATTACATGGCTTCCTAGCTAGCTACCTTAGCTTAACATGGTATCAGAGCTGGCCCCTTTCGCTCTGGCCTTCTCCTCATGCTTCCGCCCGTCAAGCCGCACCGGCGCCGTCACGCCGCGCCGGCCCGTCACTCTGCCCTGGCCCCGTCTCGCCGCGCCGGCCTCGCTAGAACGCGCCGGCCCCGCCACTCCGCGCCGGCCCCGTCCCTCCGCACTGGCCCCGTCACGCCACGCTGGCCCCATCACCCCGCGCTGGCCTCGTCACTCCGCGCTGGTCCCGTCACGCCGCGCTGGCCCCGTCACGTCGCTGTGCCTCAGTGCCGCCATCTCGCCATGCCGCCGTGCCACGGTGCCTTCGCGCCGCCGTGCCGCTGGATCGTCGTGCCGCCATGCTGTCGTGCTGCCGTGGCGGCTTCGCCACGCCAGAGCACGGACAGTTGCAGCCAGCGCCAGTCGTAACGCCCTTACGCTAGTAAGCGTCGCGCCAGCCATGGTGCCTCGCTGAAGATTTGCCCTCTCCCGCCAGTAAGCGCCGCGCCACCCATGGCGTGTCGCTGAAGATTCGCCCCCCCTGCCCCCCCCTTCCCCTGCGTCTCCTCTTCCTCCTACCGCAGCTGCTGTCTTCTACCCGGTCCTTGCCTTGCCGTGCCACACCGCCGAGAGCCTTCAGCCATGGCCGTTGCCCGCGCTGCCTCTCGCCGGGGGATGTCACCATGCCAAGCCCGAGGGGTAGATACCCAGCTGATCTCGAGCATGGGGGTGTAAGGGGTTAGGGGGTGTGTGTGTTGGGTGGACTTGTGACTACCAAGCTTAGGGTGTGTGTTAAATTATATATTGTGTTATATACAGTGACGGAAGAAATTGTCCATATCCAGACCCTTTGAGAGGTTAAAATGCGTGTGTATTTCTTATACAGAGTCTTAAAAACAAGGGGCTTTAATATACTCGTATACTGCCTCCTGAGCAAGAAGAGCACATGTCATGCAGCCTGAAAGGGCATGTTTATTATTCGAAAACAACAACAACATTCACCAAGTAGTATTCGGACAGTTTTGGCCAGATTTAAAGAAAGCATTTATCAATCCAAAATCAGTACCTAGTCCACCTCCCCTTAGCCCTAACCACTGCCTTCACCCTCCTCGGCATACTGTTAATGAGCCCCCTGCACACATCCGCCCCAATCCCATCCCATGTCTCTTGCACCCGCTCCCAAGTCTGGAGCATCCCTGTGGGGGGGTGCTCATACTTGGCAAGCTCCCTTTTGAGGTGTGCCCACAGGTGCTCTATGGGGTTGAGATCAGGGGAGGAGGAAGGCCACTTGAGGACTGCATACGGCTGCTCAGCCAGCCATGCTTGCACAAGGCGGCTCTTGTGCTTGGGGTCATTGTCATGCTGGAAAATTACATCCGAGGGGGTTAGATTATAGAAATCGATAGTTTGAGCAAGCTCATCATGCAATATGCTTCTGTACAACTCCCCATCCATGCGGCCGTCAATCTTACACATATAGCCCGGGCCATAATAAGTCATGCACCCCCATACCATCAATGACCCACCCCCATGCTTGACAGTTTGCTGAATTTGGTGACCTTGCAGGGCCGCCCCGTCGCGTATCCACGCGTACTTGCGGCCATCACTGGATAAGCGGTTGATCTTGGTCTCGTCGGACCAGATCACCCACTTCCAGTCTTCAATGGTCCAGTCAAGGTGCGCCTTGGCGAAATCGAGGCGGTCTCTGATATTTCGGGCAGAAAGTCGCGGCTTCTTCGGTTTCTTCACGGCTACTAAACCGGAGTTCTTCAGGGCGTTGCGCACGGTTCTAGGGCATATCTTGATGCCGCGCTCTGATTCTAGAAGTTTCGCGGCTTCTATGCTAGACTTCGCATGGCCAGAAGTGACTGCTCAGACGAGTGAGCGCCTATCACGAACCGAGAGTACGCACGGTCGGCCGTTCCTAGGAACAATCGGCCTGACCGCTAGGCTGCTCGAGCGCTGGGAGGCTTCGTGTGCATATTTATGTACCGTGCTCTTTCCTATTCCTAATGCTTTAGCGATTTGTCGAAGACTCTGGCCCTGTCGAAGCAGTGTCGCGATCCTATCTTTCTGGCTCGAAAGAAGCGGTCGCATCGTCGCTGGGGGCTTGGCGTAGTTGCCGCTGGACTATCGAGAGAAAAATGGAAGCGTAGGTTGCGAAGTCGCGTAATGCAGGCAGGAAATAGATCTGGACTCGATGTTGGCCTAAAATGTCCGCATCGAGTAACGATCGCTTATTATTGTACTCTTTACAATAATCTCGATAAAAGTCACAACACCCAAGTGCATTGAGTAGCTGAGGTCAAGGGGCACAGCATGCAATCTGTTATGGTTGGGTTATGACAACATATTATGCCAAAATCACAAAGTCTATGTAGTGCAGTGGATTAATAAGCCCATTTATTTCCGTCACTGTAATTGGTAGGCTTGGTAGGTTACCGAACTCTACTGTAGAGGGTACAACTCCCTTCTTGTATGCCTCTCTCTTCCTAGTCTCCACCTCTTTTCTCTCCTCAACTTTTTCCTAGCTGAACCTCACGCCATTACATGGCTTCCTAGGTAGCCGTGAAGACCAGGCTTAACATTGCCACCGTGCCGCTGTGCCGCTGAGTACCTGTGCCGCTGTGCCGCCGTGCCGCCGTGTCGCTGTGCCGCCGTGTCGCTGTGCCGCCGTGGAGCTGTGACCACGATGGCATACGCCGTACTCGGCCAAGACGCGGAGGGGCACGCGATCGACTTCGCCGCCTGGCTTGTCGATCTTCGCCGTCACCTAACAGGTCATCGCCAGGATGGGCACTCCCTGGCTATGCATGTTGATGCCTTGCTTCCCCGCCCCCCCGCGCTTGATCCCCTCCCTGCTGATCCCACCACTGCTGAGCGTGAGGCCTTTTCTGCTGCTGCACTCGCTCGCGCTGTCTGGGATTCCCACGATGCTGTAGCGCAGCTCGCCATTAGTCATGCTCTTCCCCTGTCTGAGCGTCCGCGCTTCACTGCAGTCGCGAACGCCAAGGATTTCCTAGATGCAGTAGTTGCGCGCTACTCCACAGCCGCATCCGCCTCTGCTGGCCGCTTGATCCTCCCCATGCTATTCCCCGATCTCTCCGTTTACCCCACTGTCGCTGAGCTCGCCACTCACCTACGTGCACTAGAGACTAGCTACCGCGCTGCTAGCACTGCCGCCCAGCTCACTGCCTTCCCCCCACCATTCTGCGCTACGCTGTACCTTATCGCCATGCGTTTGTCTGACCGCTTAGCCACTGCCCACGACCACTTCCTTAGCCAGCACCCAGGTGACCTCACCTTGACCACCTTTGTCACTGCACTGTATGAGATAGAGACTTGCCAACGCACTATCGCTTAGTCCAGCGGTGTTGCCGCAGTCACTATCTTTCAGGGCTGTGCTCCCTCCCAG